TCATTTGGATTATTCAGACGAAACGCCTTCTTATCTTTCCCTCAAACAAAATCACTTCAAAGACAACGACTTTGCCTCTTCTCTTTACTTTGGTGTATTTGCAGAACTATATGTTTATAGCATTTAAACTATAATTTTACCATTCTTATGTTTGATAAAAATAGTAAATATTTTCAAGTCAAAATCGACCCGTCATCACATGACGCGGATTTCTTGTAGATTTTATAACTAGAACATACTTACAGTTTTACTATACAAATTGGAATACTAATTGTATAGTATATATATAATAATAACAAACTCGATAGAAACAAAACCCGACACAACATGACGATCAATCAAAGAGTTCTTAAGGAGAAGCGAACTCCGCATTACACTTCACGAAGAAATATTCTCTGTGTTTGTACCTGAGCACACAGTTGACGAACTCACATCTATGTCTTGATTTAGCGTGTCTCACATTCATGAATAAGCAAATCAACAGTGCGTCGTGGTCTTCCGGTTCTTCGCTGAGTTCGTCATCGTCGTCGTCGTCGGACAACGCGTCACCGTCGACGTCCTCGTTGGTGTGGTGTTGCGGTTGAGGGGGTTGAGGTGGTTTTTGTTGTGGTGTTGGTTGTTGTTGGATTGGTTCTGGTTGCATCATGAGTGGTTTTTCTTGTTGGAGGAATGAGTCGTGATATTCGGGAGGTATTTGTTGGCTTGGCGCGAATTGGAATTGTTGCATCGGTTGTGCGTTCATTACATTCACGTTCATATTCATCGGTTGATTGTGCAGTGTTGTTAAGTGTCTTGAATATAAATCGTTCGCGGCGTATTGTTCAGGTTGTTGGTATTGTGCTTCTTCTGTTTCTTCGTCGCTTTGTTGTTCCATCTCATAACATTTTTCTCGCCACAACTATTTTTGTTATTCATTTTGTTGATCTATAAAATGTTATTCAAAATGTTATTCTTCTGATAGAAAAGAAAAACAAACGTTTTTAAAGGAGTCGATTTGGTCGACGTCAAACCCATTTGCTTTGAGGCGTTCTTCCATCTTGTCCATCGTTTTTGTCATAACAGCTTCATAGAATTCATGAGCAGGGCTATTTGGTGTTGGGACTTGACGAGGATAAACTATGTGTTTGTTATGAAACATTTCAACTTGAATTTCTTGTAGTTCCTTTTTATAACCCTTTTTCTATTATAACAAACTCATTTCATATTTCTTCAATTCTTTTTGTGTTTTTTGTGATAAAAAAGTCAGCAATTGAATAAAGGTACACTTTTGTATACAATCTTTCATTATTAAAGAAAAGAAAAAATGTAATGATGTGAAGATCAAAACTCAAAATTCGTAAATTAGTTGTCGTGTGCATCCCAATTGTATTGACTCTCAATGAAGTCTTCATTCACAAAGAAATACGTAGAAACCCACAACACAACTTCTAACACTAACAATATTGATGATCGAACTGCGTTATGTTTATAAAACGTATCCAACGACACTACTAGCCGATCAAAACACGTCACCTCAGTCTTCGGCACAGCTCCACAATATTGTAGCGACTGTTTCGTCCATCCACAGCAATGATACTTAACGTTAATTGAATCTTGGTATTGTTTTACCGTCATTATGTGACGGTATTTAAATAACATTTTATTATTTATAAAATGTTATATATAACAAACTTTATACTCCACGTGGACAAGATTGTTTGGTGGCAAAAGCCCATGTGATGAGACATACCTTTGGGAATTGATTGAGATGAGAGTGACAACGAGATATAGCAAGATTGGAATGAGAGAGCATTTGAGCGACAAACTTTTGTTGTCAAGAGAAGAAGAAATGATCCGAACAACTTGGAACAAAACAGCGAAAAAAGTGGCTAAGACGATGATGAAACACTCGTTGAAATAGTAGTCGTTGAAATACATGTCATGGAAAATTGGAATTGTGACGCCATATATCAAATAAATTATGGAAAACACAATGGACGAAATTTGGCCAACAACAATTGCTTTATCGACAAGTTTTCCTTCTTTAAAACGGTCCATTAAAGCGATAACAAAGTCGTATACAACGGAATGCGTCTCGAATGGGTTCATCGTGTTGTCACTCATTTTTATTTCAAGTTCTCAATGATTTCTCAGTTTGAAATTCATAAAACTGAGAATTGTTATTTTGATGTTTGTGACTCTTCCTCAGGCGCTCAGAATCGTTTCGGTGGCAGAGATTGTCGTTGTTATATTATTGTTATTTCATGGTCTGACGCACGCAGTCTTTTCAAAAAACTCGAATAATGCAATTGCGCAAGAATCTGTCACAACGTCGTCGTTTTTCGTTGGCATTTTTGGAGGGTTTTATGCGTTGTGGTGTTTTAAACAGTACGACCATTTCGACAAAACGCAACTTCATATCGTATCAATTGGAATTAATTTTGTATTAATTTTTATTAGTTCACTCCTCGTGTTCACTTCTCTCATTCGAGCCATTTCAATCAACTCCGCTGTGATGAGAGAAAATCTCTTAGCAGTTGAAAACGACGTTTGTTTGGTATTATTATTAATGGAAATAATGAATAGTACATGTGTTGTGGATGGAAAGAGCCGCGTGATTACTGCGCTAAAAAAATGATTCCGACGTGTTATAACGTTCTAATATTCCCATTGAATGCTTTTCAGTGGATTACAATCACTCTCGTTTTCTTTCAAGTAGCCCATTTGGTTATGCTATCTGTGTCGTTGTGTGTTCTTTACAAGCCAAAGAAAAAGGAACCCGACTTCAATTCGATTTATACTGCTATTGACTGATTATCGATCTTTAGACAATTTTTCCAATTTTTTAAAAACTTATCCTTTAACACCTTAAATATTATTTAACAAAATTCAAGTGGTCTAAAAATCGGGAAAATACAAGTTTATTAGATATATTACCTGTTTTTTAAAGTTTATCATGTGTATATCATTACACAAGCCAAAAGTATAAAAACATCATAATTTGAATTAATATCCCAGTAAAAACAGTTTAATGGGATATTTTTTATCTCAGTAAATTGAAAACACAGGCATTATTTAAAGTGTTAATTAAATTGTGTTTTTTGTTATATTTTGTTTAATTTTAAATATTATAAATTTATAGTTATTACAAA